AGATCAACAGCTGGGCGATGCATAAGGCGTGTGTCTGCACTCATTGCGGAATTGGCACCACAGTTTATTTCATTTCCTAGAGGAGACCGGGCACGTCAAGTCATGGTGGATTTTCCCACATTTCAGGTTTCTAAAGATTAATATACATTGACTATATAGAAGAACAAATAAATTATGACACAACTAAAGGGAGAAAACTCTTGATCATATCCTTCTTTTCTCTTTCATAAAATCAAAACATTTACCTGTGAGCGTGGGAGGGGTTAAAGGGGGGACTAGATATGCCCCATCTGAAACAAAATTACAAGTATATTATTGCTGCTTTATGGTTTAATTAGTGTTATGTCAATTTAATATTTTTCAAATGACTAAATCATTATATTCTGAAAACAAAACAAATTACAAGTATTGTTCTAATAAATGATTCAATGATTAAGAATACTAGAAGTTAAGAAAATTTTGCAAACCTAATGATTGCTTACATTTTTTGAAGACTTAGGGAAGTTGCAATGAGAAAAACTTGATTTAAGTCAAGTTGGATGTTAATTGTCATTATCTGTATGTGCTAGAGGTTGGTACATCTAAAGGGAAATAATTCTAAGTCTTGTTCTAATGCTACTTAACTTAGAAATCACAGGAGAGTGTTTGTGTTCTAGGTGGGTGGAGTGTGGGAAATCAGTGGGTCAAAATTGAAGATAAGCTTCTAATAAAATTGTCATTGTTATAAATTGTATACAGTACAATAATACCCCTAACAAGAGGCCCAGGGGCCACAGCGCTCACCTGAGCACACCGGCTAGGAAAAAGCAAATATCAGATCAGAAATTAAAGTTTACTGAGGTTGGAGGGGGGGCTTAAATTTTAACCCCCCAGGGGGTCTTGATTTGAACAAACTAGAATCTACACTATCTGAGGATGATTCCGTATAAAATTAAATATCATTCACTAATCATGGCTTTGAAGCACTTGAAAAGGAGATTTTAAAAGATTTCCCTATATATTCTTATGAAAAACTTTGATCGACCATTTTGGCCCCACCCTATCCCGGAGGGTCATGATTTGAACAAATTTGAATCAACGCTACCGGAGGATGATTCCGCATTAGTTTCATCTTTCCTGGCTCAGTGGTTCCTGAGAAGAAGATTTTTAAAGATTTTTTCCCTATATATTCCTATGTAAAACTTTTAATGGCCATTATGGCCCCACCCTATCCCCCCCCAGGGATCATGATTTGAACAAATTTGAATATACACTGATGATTTCACATGAGTTTTATCTTTCTTGTCTCAATGGTTCTTGAGAAGAAGATTTTTGAAGATTTTTTCTATATATTCCTATGTAAATCTTTGATCGGCCATTTTAGCCCCACCCTACCCCCAGGGGTCATGATTTGAACAAATTTTAATCTACACTACCTAAGAATGATGATAATATGAGTATCATCTTTCCTGGCTCAGTGGTTCTTGAGAAGAAGATTTTTTAAAGATGCCATTAATTTTTCTCAAATTCATAATTATCTCCCCTTGGAAAAGGGCGTGACCCTTCATTTGAACAAACTTGAATCCCCTTCACCCAAGGATACTTTGTGCTAAGTTTGGTTGAAATTGGCCCAGTGGTTCTTGAGAAGAAGATGAAAATGTGAAAAGTTTACAACGACAACAACGACTACGACGACAACAACGACAGACAACGGACAACTTTTGATCAGAAAATCTCATTTGAGCCTTCTGCTCAGGTGAGCTAAAAAGACCGTTTCTCATTTTACTATAAATGTATTGTAATGTTAATGAGCCAGATTTTCTTAATCCCTCAATTAACAGGATTTCCAAGAGTTTTGGACTGCATAGATGGAACACATGTAAAAATAACCAAACCATCTGGGCCTCAGGAGGCAGATTTTGTGAACAGAAAGCAGTACCATTCTCTAAATGTCCAGGTACCTTTGCATCAGTTAGAGAATTCACGTATTCTTTTGACATCACCAATAAACCACTAAATACTTCATATGTTTACTGATATTGTAAACTTTGATAAAAATAAACAAACAAGAAAACTTCCTGGGAAATATCATTTTTTCAGTCCCCACTCCCTCATTTCCTTATAGATGGTTTGTGATCCCTCTTTTAAAATCACAAGCATCAGCTGTAACTGGCCAGGGGTTACTCACGACAACAGGATATTTAAAATGTCTGCATTATGTCAGGAATTTGAACAAGGTAGAGGAAACATGCGACTTTTACGATTTACCTACATTCATGGTAGTTAACTGTTTGCAGTGGTGCATACATGCGAGAGACACATTCTAAATGATTTGTTTTTTAGGTGACAATGATGGCCTTCTACTTGGCGATTCGGGTTACCAGTGCCGCCCATTTCTCATGACGCCTTTTGTAAGTCCTGCAAATGAAAGTGAAAAGCGTTACAACAATTCATTATGCAGAATCAGAGTGCTCATAGAGCAGACATTTGGATTCCTGAAAAAAGGTTCCAATGCTTGTATCTCCTTCGTACAAAACCAGATATGTACATAAAAGTTGCAGTTACCCTACACAACTATGGGATAGAGAGGGGTGAGGTGCTGGAAGCCCAGCAGAATGTTGTACAGCAGGTGAATGATGTTGATCCTTGCCCTGCAGGGGGTGATGGGTATGCCATGAGGGCTCACATTGTGAGAACTTTTTTCTCCTAGGTGCCATTATTATGACTCTTTGACTTTTGAATCAATGGTTGATAATTTAATGATATAAATATGTTTCGGACATATACCTCAAATGTACTTGAAAAGTGTGCTGTTAAAGAGAGTACAGATATAAATAATTCTCAAGACAACTTATCAGCAGTTTGTTTATTTATTATTCCTTGACTACTTAAGTAGTCATATGTTAAGTAGTCATATGACTTTTCAAATAACATAGTCAGATAACTTATTACAAAATACAGGATGTAAAGCTCAGAAGGAATATATACATAAATGAAATATCTTCATACACTTGAAGAAAACTTTGCTTGTAGACAATATTTCCAACTAAACATTCCTAAAAAATCCAAAGTGTACAGATGTGAATCCCTAAGTACTTCTGCTTTTTAAAGGAATTTCCTTATATTGCTATGTGAACTCACATTTTTAATTGATAATAATTGTAATACATGTAGTTTATACATGGTAGGTATCAACCTATAATACTTTTTAATATACATGTACACTGTCGTGTACTCATGAAAAAGTGGACATTTTAAAGTAAAGTGGTACTCATCTTCAACCTCCACTTAACTACAAAAACGAAATCTAACTACAAAAACAAAATCTATTCTCCCTAGGAATGTGAGTAAATGCCCCCTTCTCAATGATTAATAAATGTGCACTAAATCTATATTTTGCAATCAATTGAATATACTTGAATGGAATTGGTTTCATTAAATAGGATTGCATGCACAGCTTATTTGTTTAATATCTATACACAAAATACTTTGAAGAAGGAAAAAAAAAACCCTCACATTCTTGTTGAAAATAATTAATCTTTGTTTAAAAACTCGATTAACAAACAAATAAACAAATGAATTCATTTGGGTAAATTACAATTTCGCAAGTGAGTTAAGGCTACATATATAGGTTTCTATGCAAAATATTTAATTAAACCCCATAATTGCTATACATACCGCAAAGAAAATGTTAAGACTTGTTTTCTAATACATTCTTGGTACCTACGATATGCGATAGCCAGTACACATTATGACGTTTTATTATGACTTCATCTACCTTTACTACACAAAATTATAAGAAACATCAATAAAATCGCTTCGGTGCAAGGGCATACCCTACTTTGTTTTAAAGAATCAAGGTATAAAGAGACGCAGAATATACCAAGGATGGAAGATATTGCTGCACAAATGTCGACACGTAATTGTTTAGTTACTTTTCGCAAAGTTCTAAATTGAAACAGGGTAAAAATTCACAGTCCAGTGTAAGTTTCCTAAAATTTGTATCGATTGAAGAAGTGCATAGGATTTGTGCAGCAATTTTATTAATTTTAAGTATATTTTCCTTAATATTATACATTATTTATTTTAAATCAAATAGGATATGCCCTTGCGCTGACGTTGTTTTGTTGATGTGTTTTATTACCTTGAATGGGAAAGAACAATGACGTCATAATGTGCACTTGCATGAATATACTGTGGGTACTAAGAATGTATAAGAAAATCATATTGAACTTTCTCTGGGCATAAAATATACAATTCATGCATTTTTATTAGCTCATTTGCATAGAAAAACCCATATTTAGCATTAACTCACTTGCGTTTTACATTTGCAAATGTTTTCCTTTATATAACACTACTGAAAGCAATGCGTATCTATAACTGTATAAATACAGGTAGGGGTCAAGAGGTCAAGGATGTGCGTATGGATAAACGTTTGACGTAATTTCTCAGTGACGTCTTAAAGGGTTGACGCGTATTCAGTGGATTAAATAAATGCCGTTGGATTTGAAAAATAATGCATTTCACACGTTAAAAATCACAATCAGGCAAATATAAAGTATGAATAAGTCACAAATGTAAATACACCGGTAATGCTACGTTTACACTATGTTCCCGTCAGCCACGGTAGCCCCGTTTGCCCGAAACGTAGTGCGCCGTGAGATTTTGGTTATTTTTCCCTCTATATCCAAGTCTTGACGAGTTCTTTTGCGGTCTTCTACGGTCTTCTACGGAATCCGTGATGGGCCGTAGGAAGAAGTTGCCGTGGAGTCCCGGAGGCTCCACGGCGAACTACGGTTCTGCCACGTATGCCAGCACGTTCCCCCCAGGCCTCTTACGTTCTGATAGGTCCCCTCTCGTTTCTTGCGTTCTTATGAAGTTCTTATACGTTTCTCACGTTCTGTCAAGTCTTTCTACGTATGAAACATGAACGTTGGGAAACTATGGATCACGTTTATACCAGAGAAGGTCTCCGCATAACCAGCAACAATCATTGTATCATGACCCTTCGAAGATAAAACATGAATTCCCAAGACGAAGATTTTATTTTTGCGTGTTTGTTGGGTTCATACCTAAAATCACTTCGAAATGAAGAGAACCAGCAGCAGGTACAGAGAGGGAATGCAGGAATGAGACGAATAAGACGGATGAGAAGGCGGAGATCCATATGGGTTCGGAATTGGTTGTCCGAAGACAGAAGGCAACAGATGGGTCACTACTCAACATTTATAACCAGGGAACTCCGAATGGAAGATGTTAACTCATTCACAAACTACCTGAGGATGCCTCCAGATCTCTTCAACGAGATCCTGGAAAGAGTTACACCATATATACAGAGACGAGACACTAGGTTTCGCGCAGCCCTACCACCTGGTCTGAAGCTGTCAGTGTGTCTAAGGCATTTGGCCACTGGTGACAATTACTCGTCACTCTCGTACGCATTCAGGACCAGTAAAGCAGCCATATGCCATATGGTACCAGAGGTGTGTAAGGCCATAGTGGCAGCCTACAAGGATGAAGCATTCGCCGTGCCTGTGACGCCTGATGAGTGGAGAGCCCTCGCCCGTGATTTTGAAGACAAGTGGAATGTTCCTCATGCAGTGGCAGCTCTAGACGGAAAACATATTGCTATTAGCAAGCCACCAAACACAGGCTCGTTGTACCACAATTACAAAGGGTTTTTCAGTATCCCTCTCCTCGCCTTAGTGGATGCCCAGTATCGTTTCATATGGATCGAAGTAGGTGGAGTTGGACACATGTCCGATGCTCAAATCTATAATGACTCGGAGCTCAGTGAACTTTTGCAAGACGGCCAAATAGGTTTGCCTCCACCATGTCCTCTGCCCAACGATGACCAGAACCAGGACATCCCTTACTTCATCCTAGGTGACGACGCATTCGCCTTACGAACTTACCTGATGAAGCCATATGGGAGAAGAGCAATGCCAAAAGAACAACTTATCTTCAACTATCGGATCTCGCGTGGAAGACGAGTGGTTGAGAATGCGTTCGGTATCCTAGCAAAGCGCTTCAGATGCTTCCTTGGAACTTTGGAACAGAAACCAGATACAGGTTATTATCATTCTACTGCGCCAGTGTTTCAATGAATAGTTGCAATTACATGTACAATTACTTTATTTTTATGATAAATGTGAAGAAATAGTTAGTTAATACTAATAATTATTTGGAATGTACTGAATACAGATTTCGTGCATGTATGATTAAATAACCCTAACCCTAACCCTGATTAAATACATTTGGATTTCATTACAGTGCGAGACATCGTTGAGGCTGCTGTTGTTCTTCACAACCTCTTGAGAAGAAGGGCCCCAGTCTTGTCAGTGAATGAGGTAGACCATGAAGATGAGGAACACAATCTGATCCCTGGCAACTGGAGAGATGATGTTCAATGGCAGGAAGTGGACGCACCACCAACAGGAAGGAACCGAGACACTCTGGATGCGAAACAACAACGGGAATATTTGGAAAGATACTTCAATTCCCCTGCTGGTGCTGTAGAGTGGCAAGACAGAATTATCACCCTCTAGTGAAGGGCAGTTCATATAAACAAACACGACTCTTAATGTGAACAAAACATTCTTCCGAAGTGCAAATGGTTGTATATATTATGCAATAAATGGTTAAAATTGTTGAACTTGTTTTACTAAACAAAAACTAATGAGTACTTCCCGCATGTGGATATGGGTTTTTGTTATTTTTCGTAACTGTTCATTATTGACTGTGCATTACACTTGTTGGCATTGTTTTGGCTTTTCAAAAGTTTTGGTTGAGCACTGCAGAAGAAGATATTTTTTTCCGGAAAGTGCATCTGAGACCATTACATCAAAACTGGTATCAATGTGTCTTACTGTTTATCACAGATTCAACTTAGATAAGGAGGGGGGTTTGGTTTAATTTACGATTAACACATTAAGGTCATCTACGGACATTGCCAGTTTTGGAATTGTAGGGTAACCGGAGTACCCGGAATACTCCTGCTATGGTAAGAGTAAACAACTAAGACAGACAAGTTTGCATGTATTTATTTTCTGAAAAATACAAACGCATTCAGAAGAACTTTACTGGTTTGGTCTGCACTGGTCGTCGTCCTCTGCCTGACGGATCTGATTCAGCAAGGAGAAGAAGGAACCTGAGGCAGAGGCGGTCATTTGGTTAGGCGCGATGTCTTGAACTTCGGTAGCTGGCGTCGATTGCTGTGATTGTTGTAGGTTTCCAGTCACGGGCCTTTGACATGCGATGTTCATATGAGGGAACTGCTCTTGTACCCACGGACGATCCATCGAGTGCCAGAGATCAGGTGGGTTCGTCACCTCAACAGGCCACTGGGAGGGGGGTGGCTGCCATTGCCTGACCAGAGACTCACTTAGACGACTATCAAAACGCTGGGCTGGAGGTTCTTCGTAAGAGGTACAGGGTTGCTGACGATTAGCTGGGCCAGGCTGTTGCAGTTGTACCGGTCGAAATAGCAGGCGGTCTGCTTCGTTCTGGGACTCGTGTAAAATTGCCATTATTCTTGCTTCTGCTGTACGTCGGATCCGTGTTGGAAGGCTGCGCAGACTTCCATCAACGTAGGAACCACAGGCAGTGGTTGGTAGCGCCTGACCCTGCCGATTCTCCAGGAAGGTTTCCAGGAGGCCCATCATGCGGTCCGTTTTGCCTGGGGCTGTAGACAACGTATTTGTATACGTTTGATTGCAAGCAGGTGGTGTAGGGGTATCAGTTGGGTCGTCTTCCGAAGCTTCAGAAGAAGCCCCAACAGGGGGAGCTATAGTAGCATCAGCAGCAGGTCGAAGTCGGGCAGTGAAGCTCGCCACGGTCCTTCTGGGCATCTGAGTGATGTGCTCTAACAGGAACTGGAAGCGCTGCCATATCCACCTGTTGACATAGAAAATGGATCTTTTGAAAATGCATGTGATTATATGTTTAAGTACAGTTTCAGTAAGGTTGTCTTTGCGAATAATTTTAGTAGTAAAATCTTATAAAAGGGGTACAACTTACAGTTCGGTTGCAGTGAAGTGTTCTGCAGCTTGCCTGGACTTGGTGACTGTTTTCTTCAGCTTTCCGAACTTGGTGCGCATGCTGTCATACCAGGTCTTTAGTTCCATGGGCATACGTTCCATCTTTCTTGCCTGCTCTGTCCACAGCCTGTCTTTTGCTGCCGAGTCCTTGTAACCAGCCAGTCTTTTGGAGTACAGTGTGGGATTCTGCTGTAGGAAGTCAATGATCAGCTCCTTCTCATCCTCCGAAAACGAGGTGACAAGCCTGGGGGCTGCCCTCTTCCTCGTGGGTGCGTCTCCTTCGGCTTCCTCCGACTCTGGTTCAATTTCTTGATCAGGTACCAGATCAACAGCTGCAACAATTTCTTGATCAGGTACCGGATCAACAGCTGCAACACGCTCCTCTTCATTTGGCGGCGCTAAATCATTATTAGCATGTTCAGGCTGCTTCTCCTCTACTGGTAATTTTGGAAGACCGGCTGCTTTCCTACCTCTTTTCTTCGGTGGCATAGCTTGAGTTAACTTCTCAGTTGTTCAGACTCGAATGAAACTTCTTTGCAGTGTCCGGCTTTTATATGATTCCTCTCAGACCGCGTGCGCCGTGTCAGACCGTAGTAGAACGCAACGCACCGGGACCATAAACCGTAACATGCCGGGACGAACCGCGATTGAACGCGAGGAAACGGCTACCATACACCCTAGTTTGCCGTGAGGACCGTGATGAAACGTGGCAGAACGTGATAAAACGGAAAACAACCGTGAACTAGCCGTGGCAGAACGCGGACTAAACTCAGCAAAACGTCTCAAAACGTGAATGGACCGTGAGATGAATGGAAATATACATTCTCCCGTCCCACTGCGGACTGCCTCCAAGTTCTGTTACGGTCTATTACGTGCTGTTGCGTTTTGTTGCGTTTATTCCGTTTTACTACGACCTACTAAGTTTCACATCTGCAACGTGGCCGCCGTGGCAAATTTTTTGACAGTTTAAAAATCTGGCACGGCATCCACGGCAATTGCGATGAGTTACGTTTGCCCATCCCGTTGCCCCAAGTTTTCTCATGTCCGTCCCGTTTTTTCCACGGTGGCCTGAAACGTGATTGCCGTGGCTGCCGGGAACATAGTGTAAACGTAGCATAAGTAATAAGGTATCATTTTAAAACATCTATTGGGCTATAAATACGGGTTGGTACGAGATTAAATTCATTATGGAATTTAATCTTGTGACCAACCCGTATTTATATCCCGATAGATGTTTAAAAATGATACCTTATTTCTTAATTCAAATGACATAATTATCAAGATAGATTTTGAATATTAGAGCAAAATTTTAAAGTTTCAAAAAATTTCATTTGAGAAAAAATGTGGCCATACATGTATATACAGCATATATTTGAACTACCTGAAGTTAAGGTCAAGATCTAGTAAAGAGCTTTATATTAACATAGAATTTTGGTGTAATGGTGGCATTTGAAAAAAACAAAAACAAAACATGTGCATCTCCTTTTCTGCTTCTAATAATTACAACAGTACAATGAATTTTAATGGATTTTTTAAACAATCAAGGCTTAAGAAAATTTTCGCGGTAACTGAAATTAATTAAAATTGACTTCAGTCTAAAAATTTATCAAAAATATTAAAATATGATTTTCCAAACAATTGCCAATCTTACAGTGTTTGAAAGCTAAGGATTCTGAGATCAGATTCGAGTAAAATTTCAGTAACAAAAATATTTTCCCTCTTATTAAATGGACAAAACTTTTGGTTTTTGTATCATATTGTTACTTTACATGACTACTTTTGGGTAATAAGATAACCTGGAAGAAGAATCTCTCCTTAACTTATTTACTAGATCTTGACCTTAAGGCTCAGATAAACTCAATTTCATGTCATAAAATCTGTTTTGTTTCTATCAATTTAATTTCCTTCTCAATCTTAATCATTTCCAACTCTAATTTTCTTTGTTCTAGCCGAATTCTCTTTGTGTCCTCCAAGATGTTCTCCTTCCTCTCATCTATCTTCCTTTTCTCGCTGACTTTACTAGTACCTTAAAAATAAAACAAATATTTCCAGTGGTAGATAAGTTTAACAAATTCAATTTTATACCTTTAGGTTTGAAAATATATTATTTCATTGGTTTAAAACTTTGAGTGCATATGTTGTAAATAAGTCTCAAATATAAATGCAAGTAGTTACTAGTTATCACTTTTAAACCTTCAGGCTTAATGGGATTTGGTGACAAGAACAACCCTTATTTACATCCAAACAAAAGAAAAAAACAAGATGTGTTTGTGAAACACTATGGCCCAGCGGCAACAAAGATTGGAAAAGCTGTTTTTAGAATACAGGTCACAGTCAAGGTCATAAGGTCATTGACCTTTGTGTCATTTAAAGAACTTAATTAGTGGAGTATGCATGCCAAATATGAAGTCTGTATCTCCTGCAGTTCAAAAGTTATTGCAAAAGTTTGATAAAGATATTTTTAGCATAAAGGTCACAGTCAAGGTCACATGGTCATTGACCTTGGTGTCATTTGAAAGAACCTAATTAGTGTAGTATGTGTACCAAATATGAATTCTCTATCTCTCATGGTTCAAAAGTTATGGCAAAGGTTAATGTTGACAACAGGCAGACAGACAAACAGATAAACAGACAAACAGACAGGACAAACACAATATACGCCCCAGACCTACCGATCAAAGCGCATAATAATACCTTATTTGTTAAAGAAACTAGTCTGGTCCTTATGTACTTGTGAACACATATCCCCATCTTTTCTGCTCATTTTTTTTTCAGGTTTATATGGCATACTTAGTGCAGGAATTAAATTCATTCCTCTTTCATTTCTCTTTATAGAGATGGGACCCATCATCTGCATAAATTTACATTTCACAAGTATTTTGCTTATAAAGAATGTGAGAAGTTTTACAAATTTTGAGATCATTTCCAAAATTTATAAATATTTCATATGCGATTGAAAATTTGTCCTAAGTTTAGGTCTGTTTCATGATCCTGGGGCCAGGTGATCAGAAAAGCTCTAGGCCCAGGGGCCATAAAAGTTAGATGAACTCACTTTGGTCTAAGTCTCACTTTTCTAGTATCAATTCCTTTGTTTAGTAAAAATGAGATTGAGATTAAAAGTGAGCTTTTCTTAAGTTTTATGCTCCCGAAGCCAGAACTTACTGCTAAGGTGTGCTAAAAAGGTGCAACCTTGTTCAAACAAGTTATCTTACTTCCACTTTCTTTATCTTTTGGAGTGTCAGTCCTTGAAGATGTCTGTGATGCTGCTAATATATAAAGGAAAAATTTAATGCTTGCAAACTAAGATTAAAAAAAATGAAGCATTTGAGTATCATTTAATTTCCAGTCACCATTCATACATCCCTTTCCGACTCAAACTGATTTACAGTTGCAACACTCATTGTTTTTAAGAGAAATATATAAGTATTAATTATATTGCCATTTTATTTTAAGAAGAAAGTGGGTACGTGTATATGTATGTGTTTAATATTTTCAAAATTACTCACATCTGACATCCTGACTTTCCTCGCACTCTTTGCTATCGGTAGTTAAAACTAAGACTGAAATGAAAACAAGAGTCTAGTAGTGATCAACATTCATATACTCTATTGTTAAGTAAGATAGTTATAATGTACAGATTACATGTTTCTTGTCTTCCTTACCATCTCTGTCAAAACCTGCTTCTAGGCCAAAAATGCTGGGCCTTTCATCCTGTCTCTGAAGAAGCACCTCCTCTGCCTCTGACAGTTCCACTTCAGCTTGTCCGTCACCTGTCTTTCTGCATTCTTTCTTTAAGAAATCTGTTTTTTCTTTGGCTGTTGAAAGAAAAAACATACTACAGCTATATGTGGCATGTCTGAGCTTTAAAAATAAAAAATACAAGATTTATTAGTGTACATGAGCAAGATATTTTTGTTATTTACATTCAAATTAAAATTTTCACCAGTTTTGAACTTAAATTACCCTAGGTATATACTAAATAGTAAATTGACTTAAAACTTGTTTGATATTTAAATGCCGAGTCAGTAAATAAATTGGTTGTTGTTTTAAATTTCTCATATCTACTGTGTATGAAGCGGTCGATTTAAATTGTGTAGTTTACAGAAAATCCTATCATTACATAAAGTAATTATATCAAAAAACTTATAAAAAATATGTCATATATTACTTTAACTATAATAATAACCTAGATTATAAAGAATTTACCGGTACTACTTGACAACATTTTACATAGTCATATGTACTGTGAAATGTGTATTTGATTCAAAAACATACAAATTCTATAAACTTGCATTATACTGTTGGATTGAATGGTTGAAAACTTAAACTGAAGTCAGTGAAAGTACAACATTCTCTTTTTTTACTAAAATTCTTACTGAGAATGGACTTATATAAACTAATTTTGCAAACTTATTTAGATCTAGCTGACATTTATGTGTTTAGAACACATACGTGTATGCAGGAATTAGATACACTTACTCCTTTGTTTAGCATTGTTGTACTTTTTTCTGCACTCTTCTGGCGTTCGCTTGCTGTTAGTGAATTGTCTACAAAAACAAAGACTTAAACATAAAACTTATGTCTTTGTTTTTCTTTTTTTCTGTTTCTTTTTGTTTATAAAATTATTTTTATTGGCCTCAATCATAAGCTATGGCTTAATTAAAAAAAAAGCATCATATAATAATATTGAATTACATTATTTTGTGCACAAAAGATAAACATATAAATTGAATATTAACACATGTCACATGAAAAGTACATTTCAAACACACTGTGATTTGAAGATTTTCGCAAGTATTTTTAGACAAAATGATAAACAATCAATCTTATTTCGTCTAAACCCTATAACACAGTATTTATTTAGAAAGCCAGGCCAGATCATTTCCACTTTGACTTTCTTGAATATTATATCAATTTAAATAAATAATAGTTTGTACAAGTAGGAAAAATTCCTTACGCATTTAAAACATCTGCTACTTCCCCCCAGCCCTGCCTCCGCTTAGCCTGTCCCGATTTCGCCCCCGTGCCTTTAAAATCACCGAATAGGGCGTCTTCGCCATATAGAACGGCTGAAATCAGTCTTGTCTCCTCGTCTGGGGACCACTTTGTTCTTGCTTTTTTCTCACAAACCTCTTTCGAGGACAGGAGTTTCTCTATATCTTTTTTCTGCCATGTTAGATTTTTTACATAGGCCTATAGTCTGCTGTGTATATGCAGACGATATTGTACTTTGTCGTCGGTTACAAAGTAACCAATACAACCCTTTACGTTTTACAGAAATCATATGTAATTTCATAAGAATTTTTTAGAAAAATATAGCTTAAAACGTTTTAAAGTAATATACGCTATAACGTGCGCCATTTTAAAATACGGCTGGAAATTTATATATTTTGTTTACCAATAAAAGTTACGAAAATGCTGTAAATTACACCATTTAAATAAAATTCGTTATAAAGTTATCAAATTATAATTATTTATTATCCTGCAAGGAGAATAATGTCTATTTTTAAGTAAATCTACCACGTGACGCCGTCGCTACTTTTAGATTGATAAACAAACACGGCGTCAAGAAAACGAGGTAAGCCCTTTGAGATACAACTCACTTTTGACATGGATGGCGTGTTACTATTAATATAACTTATCTTTAAATGTAATCAGTATCAAAAATCTATACTCTGTTATGACGCATATTAACCTTTTATTAATAATTGTTGTCAAAATGCAACGTACCTCGTTGTCTATAATTTCCCGTGGACATACGTGTCTATATTTAGACCTACTGTTTACGCACTTCCTTTATCAATATTCATGAAAAGACTGAATTCTTGATTGCAGATATTGCTTTATTGTTCTGTTATTACAACGAGTTTTATAGTTAAATTTTGTGGAAATATTATTTTTTCATTACACTTTATGTGTTTCAAATCATTTAATCATTTTGTTTCACATACAAATCGGCATCCATACGGCGTATATTACTTTAATGGAAAATAAACAAATGAACTCACCACTATACCCATTGGAATACTGCCACAAATCACCAGCGTAAATATTACATGGGCGCCGCCATTACTGAAGAGTTCCAAAAAGACCGCTTGTGTAATTGAAAAAAAGTCCGAATTCGTACTCATAAAATTCGAGTACGTACTCCTAGAAGTACGAACTCGAAAATTTTTATAACCTAAGATTTTGATCTCGTACTCCTAGGAGTACAATTTTTAGTTGGAGCCAGAGTTGGAGCTGGAGCCCGAGTCAAGGTTTATAAACTCCTAGCCAGGGGTACATGTAGGATCATCTTTCATATTTCCTGACTTTTGAATTCAACATGTAAAGTTCTTTGAACTCGCAATATCTTTGACAATTTCATTGCATGTATCTGAATGAAAATTACTGAAATACATTCTGGCCTATTTATTTGAAGTTTAAGTATTTGCTTGTTTTCATTTGTTAGCTCTACTGGTCAGAGACCAGAAGAGCTTATGCGATAGTAAGGTGTCCGTCGTCAGTCCGTCTGTCTGTCTGTCCGTCTGTAAACAATTTTTCAAAACGCTACTCCTCCTACAGTTTTGGTCTGATTTCAATATAACTTGGCACACAAGTAGACTACACTAAGATACATAAAATAGTGCATCGGTTTTTGATTTCGATGAACGGTGTTGCTATGGTTACTAAAAATAGAATTTTCTTTGAAATTCCTTTAAAACGCTACTCCTCCTACAGTTTTGGTCTGATTTCAATATTACTTGGCACACAAGTAGACTACACTAAGATACATAAAATAGTGCATCGGTTTTTGATTTCGATGAAGGGTGTTGCCATGGTTACTAAAAATAGAATTTTCTTTGAAATTTCTTTAAAACGCTACTCCTCCTACAGTTTTGATTTGATTTCCATATTACTTGGCACACAAGTAGACTACACTAAGATACATAAAATAGTGCATCGGTTTTTGATTTCGATGAACGGTGTTGCCATGGTTACTAAAAATAGAATTTTCTTTGAAATTCCTTTAAAATGCTACTCCTCCTACAGTTTTGATTTGATTTCAATATTACTTGGCACACAAGTAGACTATACTAAGATACATTAAATAGTGCATTGGTTTTTGATTTCGATGAACAGTGTTGCCATGGTTACTAATAATAGAATTTTCTTTGAAATTCCTTTAAAATGCTACTCCTCCTACAGTTTTGATTTGATTTCAATATTACCTGGCACACAAGTAGACTATACTAAGATACATTAAATGGTGCATCGGTTTTTGATTTCGTTGAACGGTGTTGCCATGGTTACTAAAAATAGAATTTTCTTTGAAATTCCTTTAAAATGCTCCTCCTTTTACAGTTTTGGTCTGATTTCAATATTACGTAACACACAAGTAGACTACACTAAGATACATAAAATAGTGCATTTGTTTTTTATTTTGATGAACAGTCTTGCCATGGTTGCTGAAAATAGAATTTTCTTTGAAATTTCTTTAAAACGCTACTCCTCCTACAGTTTTGGTCTGATTTCAATATTACTTGGCACACAAGTAGACTATACTAAGATATATAAAATAGTGCATTGGATTTTACTTTCGATGAACGATGTTGCCATGGTTACTCAAAATTGAATTTTCTTTGAAATTCCTTTAAAACGCTAGTCATCCTACAGTTTTGGTCTGATGGCAATGGCTTCTT